GGATAGTTCATTTTGTTCTAGTAGCATGGCAAATTTAAATTTGTCATTGTTACCTTCCTCGTAAATGCGCAATAAGCATTTATGGTTGGGTTGAATCTTAATAGAGTGGGTTAATTTCAGAGACCATCTTAATAAGGTGGGTCACTTTCAAAGATGATTTGTGATGAAAATCCTAAATTTATTAACTAAGTTACTACTTTCATCAGATATAGTTAATTTTGTTCTAGTAGCATAGAAAATTTGAAATTGTTACTTCATTGCTACCTCTGTCGGAAATGCGCAGTAAGCATTTACGATGTCTTTTAAGGTGGGGAATTATTGCAAATATGTAGGTTGGTAAGAGTTTGGCAGGTCACATATTTGGATTGAATGACTCTCACATACGAGAGCAACTTGCATAGAACGAGTACATCTCATGGCATTCTTATCGAATAACACAACATAATAATATGAAGAGAAACCTATACATATGACATAGTAGCGATGAACTCGTTCATGCAAGTTCTAACGCTTAATCAACCAATATAAAAATCTAAAGCTCATCCATATGGAAAACACCAAACAAACATTGAAGTTCAAATAAGATTAAGTTCTTACCAAATAAAACGAAAATCCCAACAAGAAAAAACAGAAACGAAATGTAGCATAGTTCTTGACCAACAAAGAAAAGAAAAACGAAATGTAAAATACTTGAAGGTCTTGAATCGAACTTTTAATCTCGAGGAAGAGATATAACACCTTTGTAGAATTCTTCCTGCAGAATCATCTCTTCCTTGTTCTCTTCCAGATGCTTTGTGATCCTCTGCTTCAAACTACGATTTTCATCTTGCAGCTTTTCGATCTTACCACGAAGTATGGCATTAGTTTCCTCAGCATCTTTCCTGAGCCTCATTTCTTTCGGGAGCTTGTCCTTCAGCCGAATAACCTCTTCGCTGTCCAGACTCATCTGCCTTGTCGGCTGCAAGACCATCTCCTGGTAAGATTTTATATCGAATTTCACCCTCCCTTTATCATCGCAGTGGTGATTGAAAGAATCCAAGTCTCGCTTGGTTGGCAAGAAACCATAGAGCTGTCGGATAAGACCTGGACGAAACAAGACAGGATTGCGCTCCCACGCATCCCTACCAAATCCTTGGTCTGCAAAATGCCTGTGCAGCCGCTCCGCCTCAAAATGCCCCATCGCTGAGGCCTCAAAAATCAACATGCTCATCCCACAATGTCCCTGCGGACCATATGAGTGTCGAGCCTTACTAGCATGATAATCATCAAACAAATCAAGAAGCTCCTCGGTCCCCATTCCAATCCACTTGTCAAATTCATCCTGTTCGAGTTTTGTGTTCATGATAAGCACCATCGGAGGCCAGATAACTTTGCGATTCTTTTCCTCATCTTTCAGAGCTGCCCATCTGCCGAATACTTGGCCCACAGGTGTGACAGATGCTCCCTTCAGCTGCAACTCCGCATCTATAAGTTTTGCAAGCTCTCGATGGAGCTTCACCCGCTTTGCCCCTTTAGTTTCTGCATGCCTTTTGAGGGGCTGCAGGCCATCATACCAATCAATTGCTCCGGGACCCTTTTTGCACGCAGGGCAGTGCCATCGCCTGGCAGGATCAGCAACCTCATCCACACTTAAACGATCAAACTCATCGAAGAATTGTTTGAACCAGTTACTCTTCTTTCGAGTTTCATGACTCTTTTCACTAGAGTCAGAGTCAAACTCATCACTGAAAAGATCCTCATCCGAGTCATCAAGATCACTCAGAGGATCAGAGTTGTCCTCGTCACCATAATCTTCGGCAACAGCAACAGGAGGAGCCACATTCTGTCTTTCTTGCCAGCTCTGGATTGCCAGTTCCATCCTTGGTCCAGCGGAGGGGGAATCACATTTTTCGGGGCCACAGAGTTATCTCCGAAACCACCAGTGCTGTTATACTGATTCCTTGCATTTCTTCCTCCAGCAGGTTTTTGAGAATGAGCAGCTTGTGAACCACGCATGCCTGTGATTGGAACACCTTGGGGCGGTGGTCCCCAAGCCTTGTAACTAGAATTTTGAGGACCAAATCTGCCACCACCTCTGTTCTTCGTTTTCTTGCCAATTACCTCCCATTCTCCATTGTCCTGTGCCGAGTCCAGGCTAATGTTTGCTACACCCTGACTCAACTGCTTTCCTTTCGCATTTCCACCGCCTCTTCTTGAACTCATCTTGGACAGCAATCCTCTTCCTCGACAATGCCGGAAACCTAACCTTCAGTAGAGGCACCTGATGTTAGTGCAAATACCTCCAACACAATCAAAGCAAATAATCTAAATAGCCTAGTGGTAGAAAAGTAACTTTAGTCCTTACAAACTCAGTCAGTTGAGACTTGAGAGTTCATCGAAACTTCATCGGCATCCAACTGTGTTATGTTTTAAAAGCCTTTTATTTCACTCTCAATTCTCTCAATTTCAATGACCAAACACATATGCAGGCCTGCACATAAGCACCCTTAAACCCCGGGAAAATCTCGGATGTAACCGGGGTATATCCCTCAGGCAGAGGCTAAACCAGAAATTTAACGAAGGAGGCACCTTATAAAATTCAAAGCTCCGTTTTTTGGATGCCAATGCTAATCCGTATTAACAAAATATATGCACCTTAATAAGGTTATACTCGAGAGAAAGTTTGCAACTATTTTCACAAGATTAATATCATCATTTCTCTAAGAAAACAAAGGTGGGAGGGGCATGCGCCACCACGGGGCCTGTGCTCCCTCCCTGTCCTTGTCTCTATGTCACGTGATGAGAGATAAAACAGGGGTATACATGCCGAGTTACGCATACAATTTCTCGGAAAAACGCACATCATAAATCACAAATTTACACACAGCTAGAGAGAAAAGCTGTAAACTTTTGTGGGAAATCGGAATGCAAACCCATGGAAACTCACATTCTTCATGAACTTCTGTAAAAATTCAGTTCACAAATCCAAAAGACAAAAATTCTGTAAACCCATCAAAATCCAATTAATAAAATTAATGAAAACAAAAAAATCCAAGTGAGGAAGTCTCTTCCTAACTCTGTAATTTCTAATCCTACGAACAGAATTTTTTTTATTACATAATGCCACGAACTCATACAACAAAATTCATAAAAAATTATTAAATAATAAACAAGAAATGTACCTGAAGCCAAATGAGACGATGAAGACGACGTTGGAGGAGCTCAGCAGGCGTGGTTTTTGTTGCGAGACGGACTCCCAACAGTCCACCCACCACCTCCTGCGACGAGAGTGATGGGAAGAGTCTGTTGTGTTTATATAATAATTTGGAAAATTAATTCACTAGGGTGCTCACACTTTTGCGTGAGTGTCTCTCTCCTCACTTGACACACTCTTGGTTCTAATAAGTATTTCTCGAAACCTCGAAAAAAACGTGTCTCGACTACTTTTTTTTAATATACTATGCCACGTCAAATAACCATGTAACATTGACCAATGACACGAAGGCACGTCGTATTAATTGCCAACATGGAACAATGTCATGATGCCACGTTGTCTTTGATTGGCATAACTGACAGATAATTTCTATCATGACCTCGAGAAATTAGCCCACTTCGTGTGATGCGAATCCAGTGTGTAGCGTAAGATTGACCACGTAACTAGGACCAATAACATAGTGCCACGTCGATCAACAATTGGCTACGCTGATGAGAGTGTAAGTTATAACTATTGCCCTTGTAGGTAGATTTATTTCCTAATTTAGAGAAAGAGATTATATTCACACCCCAAATTATTTTTCACACACCTTTTTAATTTTTTTCTGTAAGTGTTAGTGGTGTGTCAAACAATATTAAAAAAAAATAAAAAGGTGTGAGGGAAATAATTTGGTATGTGTGAATATAATCTCTGTTTAGAGAAAGTGGTTCAGGTCATGTGCAACCGCAACAAGTTGTAGGACTAATGACATAATGTCACAGCTACATTGTGCCCAGACGTGGCACGTGGCTCACCTCATTGTTTTTTTTTGTTCAAGCGATAAGATAATCTATAAAATTATTCAAATAATATAAAAGTGGAATTAAATAGAGGACACTCGGCTACAATGACAAAGCCCCAACTTACTCATTCATCCAACAAGCTTTTGCTCTTTTGCCATTCAAACCAGTAACCATCTTCTAATCAGTGTTGGTTCTTTTTCATCCAGTCAAGATTTTGTTCTTTAATGCCCTTTAATCCGTTATATAGAAAAAGTAACCAAAACATCGTACAAACAATTTCTGATTAATTGTTAACCTTTATTCCCTATTTTTAATCTAAATTTCTAAGGCGCTCCAGCAAATGTGGCTCACATCTTTATTAAAATGATGATACAAATGTAGTAAGAAAAATATGGTAAGTGTAATATTTTTGGATAAAAACTTTCAGGCTTTTTATCTAGTAGAATTGAAACAATGCAAATTTGAGATTTATATATATTCCTTTTCTACTATTTGATTTCTTGTATATTTTCTTTCATCTCTGTCGGAGACCCGTATTTAATCCAATAAGAAATGAAATTATTTCAATATAGATCGCATAACGTATATATTATACTATAATATATATGTATTATACTTATATATGCCCATATTCTTATGATTTGGGTTTGCGCTTTTTATCTTTCATGTTGTTCTTATTCTTAGACAACTCGAAAGTAAATTAAACTACAATTGCCCCGACCACAATTACACTACAAAGATCAGAACTTTGGATCTCTTCCATCAAGATCATCAGATCAAGTGATCCGGACATTTGAAATTTTATCTAACGGTCAAAATTTATTATAATTTTTAAGGAATCAAAATAGATGGACCGTTGGATGAAATTTAAAATACCCGGATCATTTGATCTGGTGATCTTAATGGAAGAGATCAGGAGAGGATATTTTCTCCATGAACATGATTTGATTTTGACCAATGCCTTTACAATTAACCTGGGACGGGCTGGGCTCATATAGTGAAAAAGACAAATGCCAAGCCCAATTAAATTGAGCCCGCGAAACATGTTTGGCTGCCGAGAAAATAACGACGGAAAATTACCCTCCCAACATCTCCAACTCCAACCCCAGAAAAATGCTCACTCTGCAACTCAAAACTGCCGCACAGAAAAACCCAACACCCGGTTTTCCAATTCCGTGTCGGAGCCTCACCACCTCACCTTCACATCCCTCTCAAGACTCTCACTTGGCGAAACTGATTCTCAAATCCGACCCGCAAACCCTAACCCAGATTCTTCACAGCCCCGAAATCGACTGGTCTTCGGATTTGGTCGACAAAACCCTGAAGAGGCTCTGGAATCATGGACCCAAAGCCCTCCAATTCTTCAAAATCCTCGACCATCATCCGAACTACACGCATTCTTGCTCCTCCTTCGACCACGCAGTCGACGTTGCCGGCCGCCTGCGCGACTACAAGTCCCTCTGGACCCTCGTGGCCCGAATGCGGTCCCGTAGGCTCGGCCCCGGGCCGAGGACTTTCGCTATCATCACCGAGAGGTATGTGGCTGCTGGTAAGCCTGATAGAGCCGTTAAGGTGTTCCTGTCAATGCATGAACATGGTTGTCCTCAGGATTTGAATTCGTTTAATACAATTCTTGATGTGCTTTGTAAAGCTAAGCGTGTGGAAAAGGCGTATAATTTGTTTAAGGTGTTTAGGGGCAGGTTTAAGGCTGATCGTGTTAGTTACAATATAATTGCGAACGGGTGGTGTTTGATTAAGCGAACCCCGAAAGCTTTGGAGCTTTTGGGGGAGATGGTGGAGAGGGGGTTAGACCCGAGTTTAACGACGTTTAACATAATGCTTAAAGGGTATTTCAGAGCTGGTCAGATTAAGGAAGCTTGGGAGTTCTTTTTGCAGATGAAGAAGAGGAAGTGTGAGATTGATGTTGTTACTTACACTACTTTGGTTCATGGGTTTGGTGTTGTCGGGGAGATTAAGAAAGCTCGAAAGGTTTTCGATGAGATGGTTGGGGAAGGCGTGCTTCCTTCGGTGGCAACGTACAATGCTTTGATTCAGGTTTTGTGTAAGAAAGATAATGTGGAAAATGCTGTTGTGGTTTTTGAGGAAATGGTGAGCAAAGGTTATGTGCCTAATGTGACGACTTATAATGTATTGATTAGAGGATTGTGTCATGCGGGAAACATGGATAGGGCGCTGGCGTTGTTGGACAGAATGAAGGATGATGAGTGTGAGCCAAATGTTCAGACATATAATGTGGTGATCCGGTACTTTTGTGACGCCGGAGAGATTGAAAAGGCGTTGAATGAGTTTGAGAAGATGGGTCGTGGTGATTGCTTGCCTAATCTGGACACGTACAATGTTTTGATTAGTGCCATGTTTGTGAGGAAGAAACCTGAAGACCTGTTAGTGGCAGGGAAGTTGTTGATTGAGATGGTTGATAGAGGATTTTTGCCGCGAAGGTTCACCTTCAATCGCGTTCTGGATGGGCTTTTGGTAACAGGTAATCAAGGTTTTGCAAAAGAGATTTTAAGATTGCAGAGCAAATGTGGCCGTCTTCCCCGTCAAGTAAAATTGTGAGCCATGTTGGAATTCAGATTGGCTCATGAACCATGCAGGTTTGAGACTCCATTCCAATCTTAACACCAGCTACTACTGCTCCAAGGGGGTTTCTGTTCCTGTTGAAGTTTCAACACGATGTTCTCGTATCGCCGGGTGTTGGAAGTCTACAGTTTGGAGGATCAGATCAGGTGGGCATTTTGGTGAAATATGATTGAAAGAGAGGCCTTCTGTAACATCCACATCGTTCATGGGAGTGATATTTAAATGTATATTTTCATCTCTACCTAGCATGAGGTTTTTTGGAAGCTCACTGGCTTCGGGTTCGGTAGGAATTCCGAAATTAAGCGAGAAGAATGCTAGAGCACTCCCAGATGGGTGACCCACTGTGAAGTTACTCGTGAGTTCCCAAAAACAAAACCGTGAGGAAAGGTAACTTCCCAAAAACAAAACCGTGAAGGAATGGTAAGCTCAAAACGGATAATATCGTGCTACGGTGATGGAACGGGTCCGGATGTGATGGACCCGGGCCGGGATGTGACACTTTCACTGCATTTGCAAGCAGTAAAAAAACAGGACTGGCCCAAGAACGACCCTCTCAGCATTTTAGTTGGAAATGAAATATCACGGAAAGAAAAACGATAAATAAACTTGAGCACATATCTTTTGTTTTCAAATTCATACTTTCATATAACTAGTGTTTAAAAAATCGATATAGGTGGGAATATAGATATGCAGTTTTATGAAAATATTGATATAGATTGTCTTATTTACAATGGCTTGGATATATCATTTCATTCAGATTTAATCGAAATTAGATAAAAAATTCAAAAGTTCAAAATTTGCAAAGAGTTACAGTAAATTTTTGGTCATCAATAAGTAATTATTATCGATATTCATTGATTGTTTTATATATTGCCTGTATGGGTTGAAGTTTGCATTTCACCTTCTTTATAAATCAATCCTTAATTTTTAGGATATTTTAACGGAAATATCGACAATTTCGTGAATATTTTAAACACTGCATACAACGAGTTTATTTCAATGCCACACAATTTATATAAGTGAACCAACTGCTAGTTTAATGGTACCTCCCCTTCCGTTGTTGAACGAAGCTAAATTCGAATCCCCCCTCGTATCTACAAAAACGAAATTTTTATTTGTTCTTTTAAATAAACACGCTTGGAAATTTCCATTCAACGTAGTAAAAAAAATTGTTTCGTTATTTCCTAAAAGAGCAATTTAATGTTTTACATGGGAGTCAATTTGAATTAGAGCAACTCTAGCCATGCTCTTTGCTGGGGGGACGGGCTACAGGAAAGGGCCCGAGGGCCGGTTGGTTCTTCTCCAGCCATGGAGAGCCCGAGTGAGGGTGGGAGCCCGAGTGAGAGTGGGGTGGGCAATTGATAGGCCTGTGGGCCGAGGCCCGTGACGTCAGGCTTGGGTCCGGGCTATTTTTTTTTATTTTTTTTGTGTCAGGCGCGTGCCCCTCACTTGCGAGTGGGGGCGCGTCGCCCGACAGGAGTTCAGGCAAGTGGCCCGCGCGCCAGTTACCGTTGGGAAGCCACGTGGCTTCCCACGGTCCGTTCGATCCCAACGGCTCTTTAATACGAGCCGTCCGATTTGCAACGGTAATAAAAAAAAAAACTGATTTTATATCAACCGTTCGATCTAAGATCAACGGTTGATATTAATCTGCTTTATAAATTAAAAAAAAGAGAAAATAGTTTTAAAATTAAGAAAGTTACCGTTATGACACGTGGCACAATCTGGAGTGTTGGAATTCAAAATTTTTAAAATCCAACGGCAGAGATTAATTATTTGAATAAAACTTTTTAAAAAATTGTAAAAAATCTGAAAAATTTGTCAAAAAATCTGAAAAAAAATTTGTAAAAAATTGTTTTTACTTTTCTATAAATACCACTTCTTCTTCATCTACCTTACACCACAATTTCATATTTTCTCAACTACTTTCAATCAAATTCTTATATTTCTCTCAAAGTTTCAATCAAATTTTTTTCCACAAAATGACTATCTTTCTCAAAAGATAATGACACGTGGCACGATGACATTGGATAAAAATCTTATCGAAATCCATCACTAAATAATTGTTTTTTTTATAAAATGACACGTGGCGCAATGAGAATGATTTAAAAAATCTTATTCGAAATTACAAATAATTTTAGTTTGTATTATTTAAACAAACAAAAAAAACTAATATTTTATTGCCTATTGCCAGGGGGGGAGGGTTTCAAGGGTGGAGATGCAAATGGCAATTACTATTCATTAATGACAGTTACTATTCATTAAAGGCAGTTACTGTTCAAAAGGGTGGATTCAATAGCGGATTGCCAGGGGGGAAGGCTTTATGAGTGGAGTTGCTCTTAGGATAAGAATTGTGGGGAGGAAAGATAAATGTTTAAGCAAATTTGGCCGAGATTTAGGACCTAAATTGGGCAAAATTAGCAACCCAATCCAAATATGAGGAAAGAGATCCTCGGGTCCACCAAAGATTACCGCATCAAGTGATCTGGACCATTTAAATTTCATTAAATGGTAAAAAATTATCATAGTTTTTAAATAACTAAAACAAATAAGCCGTTTGATGAAATTTAAAAAATTCAGAACACTTAATTCGATGATCTTGATGGAAAATATCCGAAGTGAATCTCTTTCCCAAATATGAGGACGTAAAAATAAACAAAAAAAGGAGGCAAAGGACGGTAGATTTGGCTCCATTTACAAAAACAAAAAAACAAAAAACCCGAAACCATAAATATTTCCCGCTCATTCAAACATTTGAAAACAGTCGCCCTCTCTCTCTCTCTCTCTCTCTCCCTCCTCTCTCTTTCTCTCTCCTCCCACTCATTTTTAAACTATTTGTTCCGCAGACAGCTACGCTCCACCGCTTCGGCGCTCCCTCCCGCTGCCGCCCTTCGGATCCCCAAACGCTCGCAAATATTTCAAATTTGTAAACCCCACCCCGCCTTTTACTCCTTAACCCCCCCCTTTTTCCCCTCTTTCTTAACGGTCCTTTCTCTCTCCTTCTCTCTATATCTCTCCCTCCCTCTCTCTCTCTCTCTCTCTCTCTCTAGTGTTTCAGTACCTTCGCTTCCCTCCATTTTCTCTCTCTCAACCATGGCGGATCCTCCACCCCCACCGCCAGCCCCAGCGCAATCCTCTGCCCCGGCCCCAACAGGTCCTTCCGCCAGAAACCACGGCTACAGTAGAAAGCAGAAGTCTCTCGGCCTGTTGTGCTCCAAGTACTTTCTCCCCTCTCTCTCCCTCTCTGTGTCTGCAATTTCTTGACTCTTTGATTTTTTCTCTCTCTCTCTCTCTCTCTAATTCTTCCTTTCTTTCAAATCGTGCAGTTTTCTCGGCCTCTACAACCGCGACGGCGTGACTTCAATCGGCCTCGACGACGCCGCTTCACGATTAGGTCTCCATCTTTCCCCGATCTCAGAATCCTTTGCACTTTCTTGTATTCATTTCGTCGGATCTAATGGTTTCTCGACTTGCAGGTGTAGAGAGGCGGCGGATCTACGATATTGTCAACGTCTTGGAGAGCGTTGGGGTCAGTTTCTCTTTTTCCTTACTGGGTATTCTTCTTTCGATTTGTTTCCATTTTTCGAGTATTGATTTATTCATTTGGGTTGATCTTAATTTCCAGGTTCTTGCACGAAAGGCGAAGAACCAGTATTCTTGGAAAGGATTTAAGGCGATTCCTAATGCCCTACAAGAGCTAAGGGTATTTATCTCTCGCAATTCATCATTAAGATTCAGATCTGACCCAATTCTCTCTTTAATTTTGGTGCTTTTTTCTTGCATTTGGTACTGATTTGGTGTTTTATTGTGCAATAGGAAGAGGGTCTGAGAGAGAATATTTGTAACTTTGACGGCAACGAAGATCCCAAGGCAAGTCTTTTAGGGGTTTTCTTTATTGGGCTGTCCATCCGTTCAAATAAGGTCTTTGAATCCAAATTTTTTAAAAGTTCCATTATTTTCCGCAGGGTTTGCAAATTTCAGATGATGAGGATGATGTAGAAAGATGTGGGAGTCAGCAGACTGAGAATTCGAACCCTTATCTCAATATTAAACCCATGAACCCAAAATCAGGTAAGCTTTGTTTTCGGTGTTTTTGATCTTGTTCGGTGCTTTGGGCTAAATTATAGGGGGTATTCAAATTTACTATGAATGATATTTTTGGTGATGTCCTAAAGATTGTTTCTTTTATATTTGTTGTTAAGCAGATAATAGAAGGGAAAAGTCGCTGGCGCTTCTTACCCAGAATTTTGTGAAGCTCTTTGTGTGCTCAACTGTGAGTGAAACAATGGATTGTTACTGCTTATTCCATGAAACTGTGATTTGGGTTTTATGTAATTTTGGTCTATATTGGTTTTACTGCATGAACTTGTAGGTTGAAATGATCTCCCTTGACGAAGCTGCTAAATTACTGCTTGGCGATGCACACAATGCATCAGTGATGAGAAGTAAGAAATTTGTACTTGGTTTTCTTTATTCCTGATCGTATGTTAAAAGGAGCAGAAACTCTTGACTAACTTTTGTTCAAAACTTGATGAAGCAGCAAAAGTAAGGCGGATTTACGATATTGCGAATGTTTTGTCGTCCATGAACCTCATTGAGAAGGTAAAAACACTAATTTGAATCATCAGTAGAAGAAAAAAATGAAACTTTCAAATTCAGAATTCAACTTTTGTTAACATATACACTTATTATGGCCATGTTTAATGTTTTGCTTCTTATCCAAAAATGAGCAGACCCACACGTCAGATACGAGGAAGCCTGCATTTAAGTGGTTGGGATTGAGAGGAAAAGAGGAGGTTCCTCAGGAGACTAAGAAGAGAGCTTTTGGTACTGATATAACGAATGTCAGTTCTAAGAGGGGAAAGGTAGACTCTTCTATTGGTGGGAAGTTGGACGGGCAAAAACAGAAGGGCCTTGTAGGTGAGGCCGATAGGAGCAATTTGGAAGACTCAAAAGATGGTTCAAAGAGCTATCAGTTCGGTCCTTTTGCTCCTGTCACTATTGCCAGAGCTGGGACTGGCAGCACAAGGAAGGTTCATGATTGGGAGAAACTGACCTCTACGTATCGTCCTCAATATCAAAACCAAGGTATCATCTTATGATTCATCATGCTTTAGATTAAAGAATTTGATTATGAATAGTAAATATAGCTGTTCTTATCATTTATCGTTAGCGGTCAGTGATCCATTTCTATAGGTTTGAATTCACATCAGGACATTGACTAATTGATGAGGAACTTCATTAGTTTTTAAACCTACAGATGATTGATCGACCCACTTTTTCTCTTGAATGATTGATGACCATCATGATGCCTAGGTGAACTTGTATGTAGGACCAGGTGAAAATAGTGGGAGAAAGAGAAGAGAGGTGGATAGAGAAAGAAACATGACAGGAGACTGACTAGGTGTGGGAAGAACAGAACAAGGGGGAGGAAGCTAGGAAAACGTCTTATAGCAGAAATCCAAATAAATTTTTTTTAAGCAGGCCTTGCGTACGGAAGCATGGAAATTTACTAAACCATATGTTTTGCTTCATGTTGCAGCTTTGAAGGATCTGTTTTCTCATTATACGGAAGCATGGAAGACATGGTACTCCGAAGTTGCTGGGAAGAATCCAATCCGAATTTCTTGATGCTTCTCTGTTTTGACATGCGCCAATTGACACAAGGAAATCAACTTCAATTCAACTCGTTCTTGACCCGGCAGAGAAGGGATGGCCCCTAGTTGGATGCATTTCTCTCTATGCACCGTGCTATCCCCAGGAATGCTACACTTAACCGTCTTATCTTGACATTCTCAGAATTCTTTTACTGATTTCCTTTTGAATCGATGACTAGTTAGAGACGTGCTGCGTATGTTTGTGCACCTTCTAGCAAAAATGGGTTGTGAATGGTGTAAGTTCATGTTGGGAATTGGAAAGTTGGGCCAATTTTACATGACAGATTCTTTGTGTGCTCCAAGTTGCATGAAACTTGCAACGCAAGTCATACGAAATGTTTGATGAACAAAGGCATGAACTCATGAAAACCTCCACATATCTTCTCTTCTGATCTCTCGTTCCGGATCTCCTAATGTGCTGCTTAGCCTCCGCGCTACTCTCTTTCCCACATGAAAACGAACAGCCCTCCTAACCCGAACCCTTGTCAAAAGAGTCCGACCTCTCTTTGAAGCTCATAGGCACGTAGGCTAGGACGAAGTGATGCTTGGTCGTTTTGTCCGACTGAACCACGATTCTCAGGCAACGAAATGGCACCATTCTGCACTGTTCCCCGTCTGCTCTGCCCAATGGGTCCTGGAGCCGAGACTCCGATGTAGCAGACTCACTATTTGATTGACGAAATGTCACCGTTTTGAGTCGTCCGACAACAAAAACATAGATTTCATCTTTTTATTTAAGAAAAAAATATATAATTTATTTTTTATTAGCAAACAGCAAGACGTTAATTTACAAAAAAAGAAATTTGAACAACAGCAATGACATAGCAGCAATCACAGAATGATTTCTTCCTGAACGCTGACGTTGAGCGTCTTATGGGGCAGGACAATGCTGTTTATAACCACCACTTCATCTTCAACTGTCACTGCTTCACCTGAATTGTCAACAAAACCGGCATTCAGATGGGCTCGTTATGCATATCGATGCTAATTTTATCAGAACAAGAGGATTGAGTGAAAACGAAAGGATTTATGTACCAAGGATCGTAATCCCGAGCTTTGAATTGTAATCCCCAGTAGCCTGAAACCATAGTGCCGAACTTAGAGAGTCAATCACTCAATTGCAACAAAGCTTTTAAATAAATAAAGAAAGTTGAAGTTCTGTTATTAAGCATGGGTTGGTAGAAAGTTTATGAACTTGCCTGGACGCGAGACCATCTCCCGATTGAAGATTTCCATCCAACAATTGAATGAATAACAACTGCGTTTTCCTGAAATAAAACATCGTAGATATGTCAACGTGAGGTGATGTCTAGGATGCAGTCCGTAGCCTATGCTTTTTGTTATGTACCTTAATTTCGACGTTGTCAAGGATGATACAACTTATGAGCCTCGCACCAGGTCCTATGCGAGCATTTGCAGATATTGAGACATTGGGACCGATCTGTAAGAGCAGATAACAGGAGATTTAATAGATGCATTACTAATGCCAACGCTAAATGATCTGGAAAACGATAATACATCACAGTTACGACAACCAGTATGAGAGAAAGTGTACCTTAGCACTTGGATGTACTTTTGCTGATGGATGAACATAAACATCACCGGTAATACTGGCACTCTTTGTACCATCTCCACTCATCAAGAGATGTGGATTGGTGAATCGAAATTGTGCAAGATACAAACCAGAACACTTTAACGACATTCTGCAAGTATCAACACAAAATATTTACAAGATGGCCCGGATTGATGGGGACAAGGTTCTAGGAAGACACCTTGAACGCAAATCTTACCCAGGAGTTTTGATCTGTTCCCAGAAGTCCAAGGTTTCATATGTGTATAACTGCTTCTTCCCTGCAAGAGGTGATAGGATATCTTGATCCAGCCTTACAAAATGTGTGGGAGCGTTCCTGTTAAATGAACTCTCTATTAGCGGTTTCTTTTCTAGTCAATTCAATCTGTAGGAAGGCACCATAAAAGCGGTGCTTTTAATTCGCTAAAGTAACGTTGTCTTTATACTGTAGGAAGAGAAACCTTGTTGCTGAATGAAGGGATTCGAAGCTGGAGAGACGTCTTAAATCAGCTGCAAATAACAGAAAACCGTTCAATGCTATCAATAAGTGAAACTACATCTTAATGGACGGAATCCATGTATCAAAAATTTTCCTACTGATGGAAAATTGAAACAGATACCGAGTTCTTGTTGAAAGCTAAATTTTAATATCACCACTAATAGCACAGGACAGCCTATTCATGGAGAATGTATCACTACCTCTGTCCTTCCACTGAGTGGAAACACCTTCAACGGCGTTAAAAATGTCTGGTGTAAATATGTAGACACCGCAATTTATCCTGTCGCTGACCTGAATAAAATAAGAATATAAGAAAGGTAAAAAGAGAGAGATAATTCTCCATTGAAGCACCAAAAGCTTAAAATTCCGATGTCAAACGTACAAAAGTCTCAGGCTTCTCGGTGTAATGCAACAGTTCATTGGTGACCGGATCAGCTACCAGTTCCCCAAACTGACTGGCTGATTCAGCGGAAACCTGTACACAGAAGAAGAAAACTTAGACATGGAGAACAATAGAAACATGATTACATGATAATCAATAAGATTAAGAGATAACATTACAAGAATTTGCTAATGCATTTATCGACTAACCTTGATCACAAGAATTGTTCCCATCCCACCATATTTTTTGTGAGCCTCTGCAGATAAACATGGCAAAAACCAGATATTAAGCTTTCGGCAATCCCCTATAAATCAACAACGAACAACCTGGAAATATCAAACGATACTCCCAGCAACTCATAAAACAGTTACCGAGCATTTCTGGAAGCGGAAAACTGCAGCAAACATCACAATTCAACAGCACAATGTGCGACTGCAGACAAATATAAGAACCAAAATCAGCCTTTTGCCTGAGAATTAGCACATGTATGCATGGACACAACGTATTTAAGAGCAAAGACCTAAACAAACCAACAAACAAAAACCATATAAAAACTTATCAATTGATTACGAAGAACTTGGCAAAAGACTAACCGGGTTGTCTTCCATGATCCGATCTCTGAAATTATAAAGTCCACCAGCTGATCCATGAGGCTTGTCTTCCCTCAAGTATCTAATCGCCACATCAACGCAATGTACAAGTCAATAGATTAAACGTCAATCCAGTTCAATATTTTCAAGATCTAATCAGTAACTACTAACTGGAAAACAAAAGCAGGAGCTCACACCTGACAGGGACTTTAAGCTCATTGGAGATTGAGGACACATATAACGCGAATTCACGCTCCTCGTAGAAACCAATGAGGAAAATTTGAGTGAGGTTCGGAATCTGCAATCCAGAAAGACAGTGAATTCAACTAGTATGCACGCTATTAAGCCAGAAATGACAGATTTATGTCCAAGAAATATACCCTTTTACAAGCGGAAATCGGATGATGAACCATTGGTTGCCCTGCTAATGGAAAAAGCGGCTTCGGAATATTCAGTGACAGTGGCCGGAATCTAGTTCCTGTAGAAATTGAAACTCCAATACATTAACAAATGCTTTCCAAATTCAAAGATTGTAAGAGAAATGCCATGATTCCCAATTCATGATTCAACAACTGAATTTAAATCTCTCAAAAATGCACAAAGCATTGAACTTTGGCAGTGAAAATTCAATCAAGCACCAACATAATTGTGAGAAACTGAGAAATGGGGTCTCATTGTTCGATCCAAAGATCATCACAGTAACTTGTTGATTACCTTTAGTGGGCCCACCCACCATGATCACAGCAACCACCTTCTCGTCCGAGCTGCCCATATCTTATGCAGAAAACCCAGATCCCCAGAGCCGACGGAGACAGCGGTGGTTCTGCTAGAAAGCCGGAAACTGGAAGATAAGGAATGGAGTGGTAGTAAAAAAGGAGCCCGAATGCATAATTTATACGAAAGCCAATGGTTGGAGGTTGAAGAGGGAACAAGGAAGTTACAGAAATGGACAAAAATCTGTACTTTTTCACAGCTCAGAGAGAAATAGAGAGTAAAAAGGGTCGGTAGAATTCAGAACGTGTGGTTTCGTGCAGACAGAGCGCCAGAGGAAGTTTCCCTCTGTTTTTATCCACCGCCTTTTGCGATGGATTGGAAGGGGAAAGGGAGGCGGGTGGGACCGGTGGAGTGAGACCGGACCCGGTGACGGTAAGTAGAAATTTTTTATTGTGACGGAAACATAAGTTCTACATCATGTCACGTGTTTTAATAAAAATGGTGAAAAATTTTATTTTTTAATTTATTAACTTTTTAGCACATATAACTCACAATTTGTATAATGACACGTGATGTACCACCCCATGTATCAGTCACATTGAAAAATCTCTCGAGGGTGAGAGGCTCTCAGCCTAGTTGAAAATGGATGGAAAGAGATCTCCTTTGGATCTCTTCCAAAAATGTCATCGGATCAAGTGATCCAGATCTTTCAAATTTCATCAAACGATCTATCTGTTTTGACTTTTTAAAAACTGTAATAATTTTTTATCATTGAATGAAATTTGAACGGTCCTGATCACTTGATCTGGTGACATTGATAGAAGAAATTTGGAGAGGAACTCTTTCCTAAATGTATTATATCTCCATTCCGTTTTGGGGCCCAACAATACATACTCTATGGGTTTTCGTTGTAGTAGCAAAAATGCACGATATCGACTCTATTTACAATATATTCATACTTTATCGATGATATATCAAGACTATCTAGCTATCATTACAGTGGGATATTGTATGACAATATTATTTGCTACAACTTTGTAATATGAGCATAACTGTTTTGTTTGGAAAGTATTTTTAAATGACTGAAAGTACTTTTAAAGAAGATATTTTTTAACAAATTCTTAACAAAATGTAAGTTAATTCTGAAAAAAGCACTTGAAGCAGATAATTGATGCTTCTTGTATGAAGCACTTCATGTACTTTTAGAACCCAAAAGCATTTTCTCAAAAAACTCTTCCAATGATTTAAAAGTAATTCTTAAACAAGTTCTAAAATCTAATAATATTACTCTCAATTTGGCGATATTATATCATAATGACAAACTCATTATGTTAAAGGTGTATATAAAAATTGGTTGATGAATTGCCTTTGGCCATTAAGTCAGCCTTTATTTTTCTTTAATGCACTGAATTCAGTGAATTGACCCTTTGATTTTATTGAGATTTGCCACCAAGAAAGTAGAGGTCACCGTTTAATTTGGAAGAAGTTGGCTTCAAGACTAAGAAGGGGAAAAGGCGATACTTCACCTAGATGTTCCAACTTTGAGAAAGATTGAAGCTTTGCCCTCCAACCATGTGACATTAACTCCCAAACTTAGTGGTCAATCTCTTGTGGAACAAGCCACCATCGAAAAAGCCATCACAATTTATAGATCAACACTATGATGACTGGTGTTTGGGTTAACCCAACAGGATCCTCTCCGGATCTTTTTGACGAGGATCCTGAAAATATATGAATTGTATTTGTTCATCATATATTATGCGGTCAATTTTTATCAAATACTGTTTATGCTTATTTTTAAATAAAAACATTTAAAATAATTTCTGATTGAACGATGTACGATGAACGAATATAATTTACGGAACCCTAGGATCCTCACAAAGAGGATCCGGCGAAGATCCGGACTTTGGGTTAATAGCCACGGCCCCAAGCTAAATCGACTTTTAAAAAAAAAATAATAATCCAACCAGTCGATTAGGACTGCATGACTGACTCCTTGTGTTCAAGTTCGTTCCCCTTTTCATAAATTAAAGTAGTTTAAATTTTCCGTTGCAGATTTAAAAAAAAATCAAGGGGTGTGCTATCCACACACCCCTTTTTACTTCTCACACACCCCTTGTTAATTTCTGTCCATTGATCTTCTTCAATTCATCCGATCCGACGGCCGAAAATCAAAAAGGTGTGAGAGAAGTAAAAAGAGGTGTGTGGATATCACACCCCAAAATTCAAAAGGAATTTATGGTCCCCCTACTGATAAAATAATCGGTCCCCTTGCCAATAGTACACAATCCATCATGGGTAGCCATGATCATCTCTTTATGAGATGGATATGACTAATGAGAAATGCCAAGGATAATCATGACTATGTACGCGACCGTAATATGCCACGACTATCAGAAAATCGTAAGTCCAACCGAGTGTATATCTTGTGCCTAACTCGTCACGTGCACACAAGAGGATATAAAACTGGTTGCATCCAAGATTTTGACCATGAGTGACTACTTTCTCCTCAACAAAGTAATCTCTGAATTCAAGACATGTGGGTCTGCAGTAAAAGAAAGCTAAAGCTTGATGGTTAAACGTATATTATGCCCTAGCCTAATGTTTAAAATTGACATCCAGTTTTCTAGTTCAGTACATATCTTCACCCTCTTTATTCCTGTAAATAGTACATCAGCAGTTTTCACCATGCTATTTCGCGGGTCAACTTTCACAGCTTTGAAGGCGACGTGTACCAACCCCATGGATCATCAGATACATATTCCGTAACTTGCTTCACGGTCAAGTAATTATCAAGTCCCCTGTTCAATAGAGAAGAAACTATTATTTACCATCGGCAGTTCATCAATGGTAACTTGCAGAAGTAACCGTCTTGTAATGTTTTGTCATTCTCTTATGCTTAATTTGGATATGTAGTGTGATTATATTAGGGCAAAAACATATGTAATATCAATGGAATGTTATAACATTATGCCGAGAAAGGCATACCATTTCCCTAGTTCACGCCCAAAACCACTTCGTTTGTTGCCTCCCCATGGAGCCTGACAGAAGCATGGTTGTGAGCAGTTGATCCATACAATTCCTGCTTGAAGGCCCTGCAGAAGAACAAGAAACACAACTCATAATCAGATGCTGTTTTTACGAATGTTGGGGCAGGGGATCCATTCACAAAAGACGTACAAAGAAGTCTCACCTTAGAGAAACGGTCACACCTTTCTAAATCTTTTGATATGACTGCAGCACCTAAGCCGTAACTGTCAAAGTTCAATAAACTTCATCGGTCAAAAAGGTACAAAAAAACCAGCCGAACAAATCTCCCATTATGGACAGCGACAGAAGAGTCAACTCACTGGGTGTCATTTGCTAGTTCAAGAGCTTCGTCTTCTGAACTAAATGTTTTGACACAAAGAACAGGGCCGAAAACTTCTTCTCTCCAGATTTGCATGGAGGTTGTTACATCAGTTATGATTGTTGGTTCAATGAAGAATCCTTTCTTTAGATGCTGCCATCCACCAATAATATAACTCACATATTGAATTTGTGACAAATAAAGATGCAGAATGGGCTTGATAAAAACATATGTTTATACCTCAGGACGAGCCCCACCACTCAAAACTCTTGCACCTTCACTCTTAGCTGTTTCGATGGACTTCAATATTTTCTCATACTGAAACAGATCCAGTGAAAATCAGGTAATATTCTAATACTTCAATCATAAACGGGACAGTGAAATTTAAAGATTTGAACTACTTGATGTTACTAAATGTTTTAACTTTTGCAGATTTTTGTCTCTGAGAGAAACACACATGCATTATAATTATCACCCGGAAAAAGTGACTATATATGCCCTGATGCATGTCAAACCGTAGGAACTCTATTTTTATAACAAACATAAAACACAACACATCAGCCTAAATTCATCCAAAGAAGAAACTTTTCAACAGAATGTCCAGCAAGGCTGCAACATAAATGGCTGGGGAGTTGTTTAGCATAAACACGGCAATTTTAAATAAGAAAACACTTTCCAGATACTATATAAATGGATCAGTCATTGACGGGTAAGATTTGAAATTTATAATGAACCCAGGCCCACGCACAAGACAAGCCTGAATATAACATATTTATTGATGTCCAAAAAACTACCTGCATATGTTCAAAATATTGGAAGGAACACTCACTAATTTAGACAACCCTTGTTTACATGTTTTACAAGAGTGACAACTCAAGTATCATAAGTCCAAATCTTATATTTACATACTTAAAACGAGAAAAAGATAACCAGTTAGAACTTTAGTGCTTCTCAATTGTCTAATATGTGTCAGTGGACCTGTTTCTTTAAAACCCTATCCCCAAATTCTAGAAATAGAGAATTAAAAACAGAAACAAAAAGCAACTATTGTTAACGGTATACTCACTTGCCCTCCACTAACAACAGGGCCAAGCCTGCAACCTTCTTCAAGAGGATCTGCAATCTTGATGTTTTTGCACCATTTCACAAGCCTATCCAAAAACTCTGTTGCAATGTTTTCCTGAAACAAGGTGCAAGGAAATTAATACTGTAGTATAAAGCTTGCTTAAGATGGCACTAAGAATAAGCTTCTAGGGGAACCACACAACTAGAAGCGGGAAAGTGGCACAATTGATGATGTTGTAGGACAAAAGTTAATTATCATGCACGAACCCCCCGGTCTAGAATTGTTTGGATTTACGTGTCATATCCACTTAGTTTAAAAGATGTGCCATCCATGCAACAGAGAAGGAACTGACAAAAAGTGATGTATCATCTTGCTATCATACTTACATGTAATATAAGACGAGATGTTGCACTGCAAATCTGTCCATTTGTCCAAAAGCAACCAAAGGCAGTCCATTCAGCAGCTGTTTGAGTCACAGAGTAAACAATTACCATTACATTACCAGGAATAGTATGTTTATCTCATTCATTTTAGATTCATAGATTTTCTTCCTGCACAACTGGATTCTGATGGAAGTAATTTGTTATCCAAAAAACATGTAAGTCTAAAAAGTACCCTTCATGAGGAACTAACCTTTGTCGATATCAACGTCATCAAAAACAACAATTGGGCTTTTCCCACCAAGCTCCAGTGAAACAGGCTGCCAAACCACATTGGAGATGGTATATGAAGTTCAAATGAAGAGAACGAATGTCAAAAATATAAATGACCAATCATCAGATTACAAAGACTTGAATATACCTTCACCAATTGGGCTGCAGCTGTCATAATCTTGCTCCCGGTCATAGTACTTCCGGTAAATGCAATCTGTTGAATATAAGTTTATTACTATTACTGCCCCACAGCTAAAACAACCCAAGATGTCACAACTAACAAATTTGCAGGATTATAACAAGATGACTTCATAGAATTTCCAACTACAGATTAGCAAGAAAAAAACCGAACCTTATCAACATGGGGATGAGATACCAAAGGAGCACCAGCTTCATGGCCCAGCCCAGTCAGGATATTGAGGACACCAGGAGGAAGACCGACCTCTCTACACACATCAGCTAGCTCCAAACAAGTCCTGGAATTGATTGATTACATGATGATAGGCATAAAATGTACAAAAGTAACATAAGAGCTGAAGAAAGTACATATAAACCAAAAAGGACATACACAGATGCCAACTCAGAGGGCTTCAATATTGCAGCACACCCAGCAGCTAAAGCAGGAGCGACTTTCCATGTAGCCATTAATAATGGATAGTTCCTTAACATAAAAAAAAAATAAGCACTTCATCACCATATAAATAATAAAGACACTTCTAATAAGGCTATTTACAAGATAAACCTATAATATCCAAATATTTTCATTACCAACTGGACCGCCAACATTTATGGTTTACACATGAAAATTTACTTTACGAACAGGTTAGTGCAACCACCAAGGAAGAAAGTCTTGCTAAAACTGAATGCATACTCGTTTAATATACAGAAGCAGCAAATACCATGGTGTAATTAACCCAACAACGCCAATGGGCTCCTTAAGAACATGACACTTAAATTGCTCCATAGGAAGAGAAATAGGAGCCTTTTGCTGTGCATCCAAACCTTCAGCAAGTTCTGCATAGTACTCAAAACACCCGGAAACATCATCCTGCATTGCACGTGCCAGCACATAAGACCTTAGGCATGATAAATAAAAATTCAAATTGTCAGAGAATCAAAAGCATACTATGTCCCACGCAGCTTCATCCAATGGTTTTCCACAATCAATTGCTTCGAGTTTGGCTATCTCAGGTTTTCTCTCTCCTATCTGCAGGCAAACAAAAACAAGAATAGCTTAAGACATCTGAACAGGGCCAAAATCTTTGAAAGGACATTACGGAAGTTAGAAAATCAACATTTGTCTGAGAAAGAGACTTGATAGAAACACAAGGCAGTTATTCAAAAATGTTCTGTTCAGGGCCATTTCTTCTTCGTTTCTTCTTGAATGTCAAAACATCAACCTCAACACATAAAGAATCAAGACGAGTATAGCATAACAAATCTCGATTTCCCCATACATTTCAACATCCAATTCAAGACCCGATTAATTACAATGACAACAGATCCAATACCTTAGCAGCAATAGCACGCAAATACTTAGCACGAACTGCCCCAGGCGCCGAAGCCCAATCTCTCCCCTTATTCCTGGAAAGAGCTCTCCGAGCAGCCTCCACTGCAAGCTCCACATCTTCAGCTGTAGCTGCAGGAATATGCCCTGTAGCACATTCCACAACCAGTTTCATCATTTTCTGTATGAATCTGATCGCATCACACGAAGTCGGAAAAAGAGACAATCTTTGGATCCCCCACTAGAAGATCAAGCAAAATTCGACTACCCAACAATCTATTTTTTACGAGTTCAATCAAATGATTTATGCAAAACCAGTTCTGCGTTAGTAAATAGAGAGCCAAAGCTTCTAAATTTAGAAAAATTCATAGGTTGAGAACAACAACCCAATACATCAAATGATCAAATGCGATGATTAAACAGTAAAACAAAACTTAGAAAAACAACCCAGAAATTAATGTAATTGACAAAAATGCTTAGAGTGAGAAAAAGACCGATGATTTCTTCAGTAGCTGGGTTGATGATTGGGATGCGTTTCTTGAGGACCGGTTCTCTCCACTCGCCGTCGATGAACAGCAGCCGGCTCGGTATTTGGATCGCCATTTTTCAGCTCTCTCTCTCTCTCTCTCTCTCTCTCTCTCTCTCTCTCTGGGGTCAATGATAGTGATCAGCAGAGATTGAGCTGAGCAGGATGATCTACAGTTACCGGCTCACCAGGTAGCCTGCGAAGTCTTTGGATAACTACTTACCTACAAAATTCGTAATTAACAACAAAATGTAATGCGTTTGATATTTTTTAAGCCCTTTTATATTATCACCTCATAAAATATCGAATGGATTCTATGTTAAAATTTAATATTAATGACTTATTTACTTTATTATGTAATGACAATTTTAACCTTATTAGGTATAAAAATAATAAAAAAATTATAAATACACCCAAATCACTTTTAACGTATTATTTATCTATTTCAACTATCAAAACCCCCCAATTCTCCATTGTTGAATAAAACCCTAAGCAATGAAACTACAAACATGTTGATTGAGAAAAATAATTTTTGACGAATGGAACACAAAATTGATGTTTCGAATGCTTCGAAATCATTATCATTGTTATTGAAAAACGTTCAAATGAACCTAAACATTTTTTGACATCATTCAATTTGAAATCATTTGGCCAAATAACGTTCAGATAGTTTGAAATCATTCGGCAAAATAAAAGTGTTATAAAATTTGAGAAATGTGGGGTGTGTGTAGAAAATATAAAGTGTATATTAAGAATGTGGGATGTGAGGGTATTATGGGGAAGGAAGTTGAGTATATTAAGATAATTTTTAATTGAAAAAGTAAATGTGGGGTATATTAAGTAAGTGGAGTTTATTCAATAATTTGTGAGGTGCTAATATAATAAGCCTTTTTTAATTTAGCGTGCGTTATTAGTTTGAGATACTGTCACACTAGGGCATGCTTTTAGTTGTGATAGAAGCGGGCAGCGAGTTACATTTTGAAAAAGCAAAATCAAATGCAAGATCACTTAAATTACAAGTCATCCACAATACTATATTCACTAACTACACATGTTTCATAAGAGAATGAGATCCACTCCTGATCCATATACCCCAAGGCTGAGTACGAAAAGATCGGGACCGTTCAAAACAAGAAAGAGATCTTAATTGCTCACGTTTTTTGGGGTCTTATGAAGTGGGCAGTGAGATAGGCTAATGGATGTCGTAAAATTAAAAATGAGCGGTCTGAATCTCTTAGTTTGTAGACTGCGTACACAGAAATCCAAAGTGAATCTCAATCCTTTCATAAAATTGAATAACAAGACTATATCTCAAAGGTCCAGTAAATATTATATATATATATATGTATATCTATTTTCTATATCTATCTATACTATTAAGAGAACCCTCATTGTCAACTTTTTCCCCTTTTTTTCTATTTTGCCCTCACTTTTGATACACATTATTGACAAAAGGATGGCAAAATAGTAATTTTGTACCTTTTGACAAAATGACAATCATATCCCTATTTTTCCTATTTTACCTTCTTTTTTTTTTAGAAAAATGACAATCATATACTTATTTTTCCAATTTTACTCTCACTTTTGATACACAATATTTACATAAGGAGGACAAAACAGTAATTATGTAATATTAAAAAAAAATATGCACTTATTAAAAGAAATTGTTCACACACAATGTGTGCTCTCTGCTCGTATATATTATAATAACCCTTCTTATTTTCTTCTATGTAGTTGGGTTTTTCTTTCTTTCTAATAATAACTCATTTCCGAATCGTCCTCCAGTGGAGGTGCCTCGAACCAACCCCAGGGTTGATCTGATACATATTCAGTAACCTGCTTGACGCTCAAGTAAAGCTCCAGTCCCCTGTTGCGAAACAAAAATAACACCATTACCCTTTTTCCCTAATCAAAATCTTAATAACGATTATACAACATTAAATCAAATTAACACAAGATTAATATAACTAACACAATGCTGAGATTTAGTGAGAAAATCCATGTACCATTCCCCTAATTCACGCCCGAAACCACTCCGTTTGTTGCCTCCCCATGGAGCCTGAATGAAGGATGGCTGTGAGGAATTGATCCATACAATTCCTGCTTGAAGGCCCTGCAGGACGTCACAGCAACAAAATGCTGCTATTAGTATTCTCTCTCTTGTCGCGTGACATACGTGATGAGAGAGATACTAATAAAGAACATACAAACGGTTATACGTTAGAGATCTTAGTCTCACCTTAGAAAAGCGTTCGCAGCGTTCTAGATCCTTTGACATGACTGCGGCGCCTAAGCCATAACTGTCAAAGGTCAAACAATGTCAGTAAAAAGGAACCATAACAAGGGAACTAAAGAGGAAGAAATTAAAGTGTCGAGAAAGAACGAAATGGGGCTGACAAGAACAGGAGATTCAACTCACTGGGTGTCATTTGCCAGTTCAAGAGCTTCCTCTTCTGAACTGAATGTTTTGACACAGAGGACAGGCCCAAAAACTTCTTCTCTCCATATTTGCATTGAGGGTGTTACATCAGTTATGATGGTCGGTTCGATGAAGAACCCTTTCTTCAGATGCTGTCAGTGCCATCCATTTTTTCACAAAACATGTCAAGTTTTTTTTTTTTGAGGTTAAAGACATGTATTATGTATTGGTTAGTTTATACCTCAGGACGATCCCCACCATACACAACTTTTGCTCCTTCACTTTTAGCCGTTGAGATGAACTTCAATATTTTCTCATACTGAAACAGATGCAGTGAGGATTAGATAACACTTCCTTCGATCGTGAACTTAAGAACGATACTTAAGATCCTACTAAATGTGACACTTTTTAGCTTTCCGCCACAGGCAAACGCAGAAAATGTTGACAGTTGATTTACCTGGCCTTTGCTAACAACAGGGCCAAGCCTGCAACCTTGTTCCATAGGATCTGAAATCTTGATGTTTTTGCTCCATTTCACAAGCCTGTCCATAAACTCTGCAGCAATGCTTTCCTAAAATCAATATGCAAGGGATTAATTAGTTCTCTAGTATAAATCTACGCATCTCAGAACGGACTAACAGAAAGCGATGAAGCCGCAATCGTACTATCATACTTACGTGCACTATGAGACGGGAGGTTGCGCTGCAAATCTGACCATTTGTCAAAAAGATACCAAAGCAGGTCCATTCCACAGCTGTTTGATTGAATCATAGAGTAGTAGATACTTAACATTATGCTTATTGGCTTTCTGAAATGATTCGTTTTAGACACGAACATGGATGGAATCCGTGTGCAACTAGTTTCTAACGAAAGCAATTTATTTATCCAAAGAGGTACTAACCTTTGTCGATATCAACATCCTCAAAAACAACAATGGGGCTTTTCCCCCCGAGCTCCAGTGCAACAGGCTACAAAGAAAACCACATAGGAGAAAGTATACCAAGATCAAATGAAGATAATAAATTCGAAAAACATAATCTTTGACATATACCTTGATCATTGGAGCTCCAGCTGCCATAATCTTGCTCCCGGTGATAGTACTTCCAGTAAACGCGATCTGTTGAATATTAACCATATAGCAATTACAGCCTGGTGGCTAACAACTTGAACATCTTACAATTATCGAGTTTGCAGAAATTCGAATAACGTAATTTGTTAAGAGAACAAGCTGAACCTTATCAACATTTGGATGAGATGTTAAAATAGCTCCGGCTTCATTGCCTAGTCCAGTCACAATGTTGAGGACACCGGGAGGAAGACCGACATTTATACACACCTCAGCTAGCTCCAAACAAGTTCTAGAATTGATGGATAACACAAACGATATGCATAAACGTGAAAAATCAACATACCAACTGAATAAAATACATACATATGTATAAAGTATAAACCAAACAGGGCATACATAGATGCCAACTCAGACGGTTTCAGAACAGCAGCGCAGCCAGCAGCCAAGGCAGGAGCTACTTTCCACGCAGCCATTAATAAAGGGTAGTTCCTTAACAGAAAAGATAAGCACTTTTGGTTAAGCACTTTGGTTCCTTAACATATAAATCATTATTAAGATGTTTCTAAAACTAGTTTGAAACAAAGAAGCTGCAACATACCATGCTGTTATCAACCCAACAACCCCAACCGGTTCCTTAAGAACGTGAGTTTTGAATTTCTCTGTGGAAATAGAAACCGGAGTCTTTTGCTTTGCATCCAATCCTTCGGCAAGGCCTGCGTAGTACTCAAAACAGCTGGCGACTTCCCCCTGCATCGAATTTGAGTTAATTAGGTGCCATGCCATCACATAAGATCTTATGCATAACGTCGTAAATAATAATTTCAATACATGTCACTAGCATACTATGTCAGATGTAGTTTCATCCAGTGGTTTTCCGCTATCCATTGCTTCGAGTTTGGCTAGCTCGGATTTTCTCTCTTTTATCTGCACCAGAACAAAAAGTACTAAAAACTGAATACATCTCAAACAACCATGATTCATTACGCAGCGACAGTTATTCAAAACCATTCGAAAGATTAGAAGATTGAAACACGATTAGCAATAATATTGGTTTAACATGCAACTGATGATAACCAGATTTATGATTTCACTAACAGCGAATTAAATAGTGAGACTCGGAGACAATGTACCTTAGAAGCAATAGCGCGCAAATACTTGGCCCGAACAGCCCCTGGCGCAGAGGACCAATCTTTCGCCTTGTCCCTGGCAAGGGCTTTTCGAGCAGCCTCCACGGCGATCTCCACATCTTGAGCGGTAGCTGCAGGAATATCCCCTGCATCCGCACATTCCACAAATCAACCACTTCTTCACATCAGATTCAAGTCTAGATTACAAAAACCACAATTTCATCGACATACCAAAAGCGCCTATTTGAAAGTGCTTTTAGAATGGTTAGCAGTACTTTCAGATAACCAAAAGCGCTTAATTGTCAGAAAAAGTTAGAAGTATTTCTAAGATGAAAAATTTCCTACAAGTGCTTTAACAATAAATTTTGTATCACAATATTATATGCGCCTCTTTCAAAGCTTAAAAGTGCTTATGACCACAATTGCTTTTCAGAAATTCATTTTCGAACGAGCCCTAACTTGAAAAACAAGTTACATACCACAAATCAATATTTCGACAATCAAAATATAAAAAAGCATAGAGAGTCGAGGAAGAGAGAGACCGATGGTTTCTTCAGTGGCAGGGTTGATGACCGGAATGCGTTTCTTGAGGGACGGTTCTCTCCACTCCCCGTCGATGAATAACTGCCGTCTCGGAACGCGGACCGCCATTTTTCAGCTAGCTCTGATGCTCTTCCAAACTATAACAAATTAATTGTTGGACCGGTGAGGGAGCGAGTGAGGTGAGTCGAATGGGATCGGATCGAATTGAATTGAATTTATGTTGTGTTATTAGTAGTGTGGAATCTGAAAGTGCGGATCGCGTGAGGAGGATTTCAACGGCTGAAAACTCGACGGAAATTCCGGTGTTTAGAATGCTTCATTTAAAGAGAGCTCTCTTGAATTTTAGCGGGAGGAAGGAACGAGGGTCTTTAATTCTTTTTTAATTAATTAATTATTTATTTATTTTGTTCATTACTATGGAACTAGTGGTGGGGTTGTTGATAAACCTTTTTATGTAAGTTTGTTGATTAAAATTTAGGGGTGGGGATTAGTTGCTCTCACCACTAGCGTCACGACATAACCACAATCTTGAGCTGGAAGGACTTACGCATGGCATCTAGCTGCCAATTGTCATTGCCAATTGTCACCGATATGAATTTTCTTAGGAATTTATAGATCGCGCACCAATAAGAACGGTTGGCAGCAAGACTCGAACATGGTGGGGCACTACATAAGACATGAACCTTACCAACTGAGCCAACCCTCGTTGGCTACTTTTTGTTGTATGCATTCAACAACTATATCTATATGAGTAATGCCACACTTACTACATATTTTATCTCTCTAATAGAGGTAGGACCCACTAACACATGTGAGTCTCATCTCAATTAGAGAGATTGTACAAGCAATGATACAATTATATGGTAAGAGTGACATATAGGATAATGCTAGGAAGACAAAAAAATTAAACTAAATATACAAACGTGTCATCAATATAAAATAAGTATGTTAAGTGTATGTTAATCAACACTTAAGTAATAATTTAATCAACAATATTTGCATCATTTGGTTTATAAAATTTGGTTTTCAGATCATAGCCCAGTACAGACTTGGAACTTGTAGAACATATGCATGAATGCAACTTTGCAATTTGGGCTTAGGAATTAGTATTCCATTAGCCAAGTCCTGGGCTAATAGCTGGACTGGACTAAATAGTTCCTGCTCAATCTAAACGTGTAGAAATTTGTTCTTAAACGACAATTGTCACGTGATGTTTCCATATCCGCACATGGTTCAGTCGTTTGAATCGAAGAATTTATCCGTGGGTTAGACCCGACCCGGTAGGAATGGGGACCTGACTCCGATCTTCCAATCTCAGCTCCCAATATGAAAATGCTCTCAAATATAAAATAGTTGGCCATCCATACAGCATGATAAGTGAATTGGCAACAATCTCGAACAATTTTTCAGTGATCTCAAAACACGTTACTCATTTTTCCCATTTTATTATAAGCGTTACGTGATTTTACCGTTTCATTATAAATTAACACGTAACGACTACGGAAAACCACGTGGCTAAAATTTCAACAATGACAACCAGTAATTTTGCCTCGCAGATGAACAGAAATAAATGAAATATATATATATATATATATATATATAGAAAATGATAAAATTGGATCGTTATGTTATTTCTGGTAGTCTTCTACGCTAGATTTATGCCTGCAAATTAGATTCAGATTTTTTTCCTTTTGATTTTTGGCAGATATGGTAAGAAAAATACTTACAGAAAATAAAATAAACATATTTATCATCAAAACGGTAAATAAAACAAAAAAAAGAAGATCACGATTTGTAAATTCATGCAAAAAACGAAGAAATTAAATTCTGTATCAAGAAATTTACAAGAAACTTAAAAATCAACGCTTGGAGGTAGTCTTCTGGCACTTCTCTTTGATCCAATGAAATCCAGCGGAGGCGCCTACCTTGACCTTCTTAGCGCCGGTCGAAGCCACCGCCTTGGTCTTCACCAGGCCTTCCCCGACCTTCTGCTTGCATTTTGCGGCGACTCCGCCGTCGCCCTTGACTTCGACGGGGTAGGTGGAGTTGTTGTTGTAATCCCACTGATCGGCCCACGAGGTCTCGTAATTCGCTTTGTCTCCGTTCATGATCGCTCTCGAAAAGTTGAAGCTGGAATTAATCGGCGGAAAAACTCGATCGACTGGGGAGGATGAGAAAATTGGATTGGGATTTTGGGAGGGGTGGAAATTTTTGGAGAGAATTGGAAACGTGAATTTGGGAAGGGTGGGTTTTAAGATATTGATTTTATAGTAGTTGGTCCAAGTTTGAAAGAGATGTTTCCCGGATCTCTTCTACCAAGACAACCGGATCAAATAATTCATATCTTTAAAATTCCATCTAACCGTTAAAAATTATTATAACATTTAAGAGATCAAAATACGTGGATCGTTGGATAAAACTTTAAAAGTCCGAATAACTTAATCTGATAATTTTAGTAGAAGAGATACAGACATGATATCTTTCCGTCCAAGATTAGGAAATATAGAATTGATAGGTGGACTAATCTTAAATCTGGACGCGTGCTGGGAACCTAAATAGAAATAGAATATATTAAAGGTATTGGGACACGTGGAGGTGGTTTGTATTTCAAAGATTTCACTCTTTTCCCTTTTCGAATATTTATGACAATAATGCCCTTATCTCCTTTTCCAAATTTATTTTCTTTGAAGAGTGAAAGGAAATATTGACATTAAGTGGTTTTAGACTTCAATGATATTATAAACGCAAGGCATGGGAAATGGAGTGTTTGTTTAGAAGTATTTTTAAAATGACTAAAACTGCTGTTAGGAAATAAGGAAATATTTTGTTATCCTAAAAGTACTTGAAGTGCTTCTTGCAAAAAGTATTTTAAGTGTTTTTTTCAAGGTTTACTTGCATTCTAAGTAAGGATTGATTGGCACTTAGTATGACGGCTAGTTGTATTCATCTTCACTTGTAAGCGAGATATTTTAGGTTTGATTAACCGCATTATTGTTAGCTCATTGTGAGGCTAAACCCACTCATTTTCTCTTAATGTTATTTTAACAACACTTTCAAACGAACTCGATAAGCGCACATTGTTTTCATTGTCTTGCACACTATTTGTTTTCGTTTGTTGGCTATATCAATTATCACATTTCTAATTTATTATAAAGGTGTGCGACTTATTTATGAAAATTGACATGTAAACAACTATTCATCTTTTATGTGTCACAATATACTTTAATTTGGTTGAAATTAGATACATCATGGACTACCCTTACCGTCATTCATCTTCTTCTACTAGGGGCCTAACTCTTGGATTTGGATCTCATTCGGATCTAAATTGTGGTGATTCTAGAGATTCTTGCATTTTAGCCATTTTTCGTGCATTGTGCGGTCAGACCAAAACTAATTGCATGATGTACAATAAACGATTAAAAATCCCCACAAAATGAATCCAGAGAGTATCCTCTTCCCTAACTCCTAACCATTTTTTGGTCAACCAACTCCTCCTAAGTCCTATATATATAGATCTATGGATCACTGATAATACAACTCACAATGGCAAATTTGTCAATCGGATTGACCTAACCGTGTATTTCCAAAATCCTTCTCGAACAATCCAGAACAGAGACTTTTAACCCATGAACTCACACCGTCCGGCCCACATAGTCCAACAAAAAAGAATATAGAAAAAAAAAGTGCCCATGAAAGTCCAAATTTCTATGCGCCTTTACTTCCCCGTTATGTGCTCATAGGCTCATAGCCTCGAAATTTCACCGATCACACCATCCATTTATCAATATTTCCAAGTCAAATTAGGGAGTCCGTCCTTCAGTACTACAGTTTAGGAATATTTATTTTTAATTGTGATTTTGTAAATAAGAAGTCTTAGGTTTGATTCTTGTTGGTGAATTTAAACTACATTATTTCGAGCTTATTGTGAGACTTAACCTGCTCCCTAACTCCTTAGAGTAGATAATACCGTTCAAAAAAAAAAAAAGTCACACTAGGGCTCCCATCAAATGACATGCTAGATGAGGTAACGTTGGGAAAGAAAAATCATATTACTTGTAAGTAAACAATGATTGCGATACGAGCACATTCTATAATTTCCAATGTTCTTCATATCGATAATTATGTTAATTATTCCTTATGCAATTTTATTTTCTAACTACAGTCTGACTACCTAAAAGTAAAATCAATTGAGATAAAATAAATAAATAAATGCAAAAGGATTAAAAAAAAAAAAAAAAAACTGAGAGTCTGAAATTCGCTAAATTTTTTGGGGGTCTAATCTGGAGGCTTGGGCCTTATTGGGCTTTACTATGTATGCCTTGGGCTAAACTAGCATTGACTTCCATGGGTCCTAACCCAATGAGGGACATGGACAACTCTTATTGGGTTTTACTTGACGAAATTTTTTTAAGAAAATTAATAAAAAGTCTAAAAAAACTTCACTTTTAATGTAAAGCATTTTTTAAAGGTACAGTGAATAGTACTAGATAAATGTATAAATGTGATTTTTTTGTTAAAAGTGAATAGTACCAGTAGTGTTTTGTTAAAAGTCCTTTTTTTTTTTTTGCTTATCTGCTGCATTGTGAGGTCAGTTCACTGTTCATGTGATTAATTTTTTTTCTTCTAAAAAATAAAATTAAAAAACAGTGCCTTTTTTTTGTTACAGTGTACATTAACCTTGAAGTTGCTCGAGATGCAAAGTAGGAGGAGATATTTACTCTCGGAGAAATGATTTCCACACTCCCTCGTCATTCTTTTGTACTTTTGTTCTTGCTTCTAACCACATAATTGAATAAATCAATAGTGAATCAAGATACAGAAGAAAGCACAGTAATTTTAGGTGAAAGGTAAATGTGAAAATCATTTCCTTATTCCCGATTCGAAAAAAGGAAAAAAAAAATGAAGGTACAACAAGGGTGTTTGAATATATATTCCACTTTCATGTTGCTTTCATCATTATACATGTGTGTGTGTATATATATATATATATTAATAGATTTCAATCCTTGAGGTCCCCTCTCTCTCCCACTAGAAGCTTCAGGTTGGTATAATTAGGATGTCGGAGAAAAGGGTGCTTGCATGAATGAATTTAAAGGTTTAATATGGTTGCATTATTGAAATGAAAAGAGAAGGCTTCGTTTATATATTTTTCTGAAGATTGTTATTGACACTCTAAAAAAGTTCATCTTACAATCCTGAATTCACAAATTTTCCCTTATACTTTTCGCGTT